GAGAGTAAGCTACTACGGGAGGTCCCTTAAAGCCAAAACAAATTCTGGCCGGAGTCTAGAAATGGTTTTTTAAATCGCGATTTTTTCGTTTCAGGCCATTTCACAAACCGTAGGGAAAGTAAAAATGGCAAATTATTTTAGGGATGGGCACCGGTAAATTCGGGCCGCCGAAAATTATCGGCGCCGGAAAATGGTTAAAAAGGCTCTTTCGGCCCGGAAAGGGTTTTGCCACCGCAAAAAAGTGATCACCGGAATGTCATGGAACCAGGGTTGACGTTCGCGGCTAAGGCCCTAACGGTGTTGTTGTGCATGGACGTAATTCAAAACGCGTCGGACAAGGCACGGGTGCGCGGACCATGCTCGCGGGCTGGGCTTCACAGCCAACTATGGTTCTGGCCGGCTTTGGAGATATTTAAAAATATCAGGAGGGAAAGAGGCGCGGATTCGATTTGTTTTTTTATGTAAAAACGTGTTCGGGCTGACATTTCTCGAGGGGTGTAACTGCCCCAAAGACTTTCACCCACTTCGGGATACTCCACCACTTGAAATCAAAACACCCGGACAAATATGCGGAGTGAGATCAAAATCACAAGCACTGACAGCGATGAGACTGTTCAGCGCTGCCTCTCATGTGCTTGATGAGAAGAGGAACAGACTTATGGCTGATAAAGCAGAGAAGCTTACTGTTCATTAAAAAGAACCTCCCACTTTTCCTTAATAAGTAGACAAGGCTGGCTTATCATAAGCTTATCTAGTTCTACATGTCTACTCTATACCCACTTTCTGTAACAATTTTACATTGTGAGTTATAATTCACCATCTCAGGTTATCATTAGGGGGGAAATGACAGCAGCTACAGTTGTTCAATATATTGTACTTTCGGAATCTAAATGATACAATGTTGTTTACATTGCTCATGAGGACAGACCTATGGGACAGACCACCTTATTTGCAGATTCTTGAAATTGTAATTTAATTTGTAATTGGTTGTGGATTTTGTATCCAGTTTTCACTTTATGTATCTTTATACAATGTTTACTACTTTGCTTATGAGGACAGACAGCCTTATTTACAGATTCTTGAAATTCAATTGTAATTTCATTTGTAAATAGTTACATTCATGTGGATTTATCCAGCTTGCACATTTGTATGCATGCACTTATAGGTGCATTTGTTGTTGTTGAAGGCCTGGCTGTTACAGTCTTTATTTACAGTTTTAAAGCACCTTGGCTTTGTTCTGAATGCACTTTGTTGTAGTTATCCTACACTACAGAGAAAATGCACTTGACTTGGAATTAATGTACTGTATGCATTCAAAAGTGCTGAATAAATGTTTTATGGACCCATAATAGTGATTACTATTTAAGTTAAGTTTTGCCATAATCATGTCTTTTTCCATAATCAGGTAGCTGAACAACATTGGTAAAAAATGTATACATTATATATATATATATTTCTATTAATCATTTTCGGCCTTTCGGCATTCGGTTTTCGGCCAACTGTTTCCTATTTTCGGTATCGGTTTCGGCCAAGAATTTCCCATTCGGTGCACCCCTAAAATTAATCGTTAAAACCGAAAAAATCGCCCAGCTCTACACGCAACACTACAAAATGGAATATCATTCCATTATGTAACAAAACAATACAATTATTCCAACAAAACAAGAAAGATAGATTTATCTGTACCTTCAGCGATTTCTCTGAATCTCACTTCAGCGTCTGGGCTCTTGTTCTTATCTGGGTGATGTTTCATTGCAAGCTTGTGGAAAGCTTTTTTTATCTGTCGCTCAGTAGCATCTTTAGGCACTCCCAGTATATCATAATAGTCCTTCTTGGCAAGTATTAGCTCTGTTATCATGAGGATGCACACTGCAAACGTTACAGCCGACTGTGCAGTTGCCATAGCTCTGATGCACCCTGCATTGAAAAGAAATGGAAGTTCAAATGTATGCATGTATACAAAAGAGAGTGGTAATGAGTTCATTTGTGTTTACACATCTAGAGAAGAAGGCAACTTAGCAAGTAGCCATAGACAACATACAATAGTAAATATCTTAGAAACATGACATTGCAATATTAGCTACTTTAAACTTACAAAATGACAGTAAAACGATTGAGTCCAAATGTATTGTTTTTATATCTTCTTGTGCATAAGCTTTGAATAATGAATTTACATTGTATATCACAATAACATGTGCCTTACATTCTAATAACTTCGGCAACATACATGCTGTTACCTTGAATGATTAATTACCACTGAGTCACAGTTATTGTAAGATAACGCCATGTTTTCATAGACATCAACCGTCACCCTTAACGTTAGCTGACGTTGCTAACACAGGGCACTGCCCACTTCGTTTCTCTCCTTTCTTTTAAACCCAAACTCACCGTTAAAAGAGACCCAAGTCCTGCTTAGCTGGTGTGTTGCAGGTCTGCCTATCAAACTATGTATCCAACGCTAAACATGACAGTGTCCAGTTTTTAGTTTAAGTGAGTGTTATGGAAAAAGAAGCAGCGGTCAGAAGCAGCATCATTTCCATGTCTTCTTCGATGACTACATTGCATCAGAGTAAGTGCAGGTTAGTGCGCTTCTGCCCTCTGTTGGTCAATGTCGGTAATGTGGGACTGTCCGATAGTGACCCTGAGGTTTACAGCAACGATATGATGTTTAAAAACAGTCTAACTAACTGCTACTAGTAGTAGCTACTTGCTAAGTCTTAGTATTGATATTTATCTATACATGCTTTGATCTCATAGTGTTTTTTTTAGGTATATGCTGCGATTACGTGATTATAATAACGTTTGTGGAAAAAGTAGTCTCTACATTTCCAAGTATCTGCGTAGCGCTCCATTTGATTTTGTGATTTTGTGTTAAGTAGTAGGGTGGGGTTCCGGTGTACGCCATGGATGTATAATAAGAAGGTGTAAGCCAGTAACACTTGAAAGTTGATCATCTGCTACAGTAAAAGGTGGGGAGAATTCCTCAGCCAATCAACCGACGGCTTTTGAGAGGCAAGTGGTAGACAGCCATTTGCAGACCACATTACCTGTCACGTGATCCTTGTTTTTCTTTTGACTGACGTCCTACGTCATTATGGAAATGAATTAGGTCGAATGACCGTTGTTATTCTGTGTTAACGTTAACGAACGATGGTAACTCAATGAGAATATTAAAGGACTTCTACCTTTATTGATACCGAGACATAATAAGGTATGTTTTGCTATGTTTAGTGTGACTTATATGGTTTATTTACGTGTTAGCTAGCGGAGTTAGCGGTGCTAACAGCTAACGTTAGTTGCTGATGTTAAACCATGTTATTCTTAGTTGATGTTAAGTGAGCTATTGTGTCGTCCTCTCACTTAGGATAATTTAACGAAAATATTTTACTTGTAATCGAAACAAAACCACACCCAGGAGCAAGTTTTAGGAGCAGTTTCAGTAGCTTTATCCCACGTTATGCCATTCTCATCATTTTGTCTGTGACGGTTTTTCATTCCCCCATGTACATGACTATTTGTTGTTGTTTCTCACCAGGTTAATGAAAGGGAGAGCATAGCCCTAATATTGCTTTGGATGGTACGAACTCTTGTGACCTGAAAGAATGAGTCATAAATGGGCACCAAATACCTGGGTAAAAATAAGCAGAGCATTTCATTTGTGTCAAACACATGCCCGCAAGTCAGCAGCATCTCTTCCCTTGTGTGGCACCTCTCACTGCAGGGTTCATGTACAACAGCCTTATTGCTACAAGGTTGGCTATCTCAGCTGGAGGCACATCCATCACCTGAGGATCACTGGGCGTAAGGGATGGCTCTGTAAAGCTAACCAGGTTCGACAAAGGCTTGGACTCCACACCAGCACCTTGAATTTGAACACATCTGCCTCTCGGTGGTCTGCTGGTCTCAGCCAACACATGTCGCGGGTCAGGAACACACTAGACACAGTTTCTAAAGCTGTAAGTGGGAGGCATACAGAACTTCTCTCCAAAATTGCAAGACTCAAGCCTAATGCATTAAAGGGTGTAACCAAGGCTGAGGCAAGTGTTGAGTCAGCGCCCAAAGCTGAGGATAGTGATTTCACACTTACTCCAGCTCCTGTTAATGCTGCTCCAACTTCGACATCCACTACACCCAAACTTATATGTAACTCATCACCTGCCAGTTCTTCTATTCCTACTTCTGCTGCTACGTTTGATGCAAGTGCCACTACCTCAACCCGTCCCCACAACTCTGACAAAGCGAATGTCACAGGCACAATCCTGACTGTGCCTAAGGAGAAAAGGGTGAGACGTGTTGTTCCCGCAGTCAAAGCCAGTCCTGCCAGGAAGCAAGAGGAGCTCAAACTTTCACCGGGTGAAACTGAGATCAACAGCGCAACTTCCAAACAAGCCACAGCACTTTTCCACCCCAGTACCTTCTCAGTAAACCTGGATGACACTTACAACTACCTGGCCCATCACATCAACACATACTTTGGCAGCAGTACAAACACTCAGGACAAGAAAAGGGACAATGTTGAAATTTCCTCTGCTTCCTCTCAGGGTAGACAAACTAGAGACCTCATACCAGTGTTTGGTAAACCAGCCTATGCTGCTACAGTTATCCCACCTCCTAAGAAGGGTCTAGGACACTACCTGTCCTACTCAGCTCCAACTGTACAAGCCTTTGTAGGAAGCTACATTGCTCCCCTGGTCCCACGGTTTAGGGCAGCAGACTCCAAAAGTGCTGATGTGGAGGTAAAGAAGTCTGAGGAAGCACCGGTCAAACAGGTTGAGGCCACAGTTAGTAAGGAGAAGAAGTCTGCAGAGGAGAAAGCCAATAAACTTCTGCTTCAAAGGGAGAAGGTACGTCTACAAAAAGTTGTGTCTATGTTTGAGCGAAACATAATCAGATTGTTCTCAGTATCTGGTATGTTATAGGAGGGGGCCTACTGTTTAGACTTTGACCAGAGCTATTGCTACTCTACATGTCCAAGGGTAGTTCAGCGTGCTGACATGTGCTTGACTTCTTGGAAACTGTTTTCAAAAATAACTCCTTGTGGAGATAGAGGGCCCCAGAAGGTGTTTACATTACAGGCCAAGCCATGCTTTCTTTTTGTAGAGCCATGAACACACCTGACATTCAGTTAATGTCAAAGCTGCATTGGGTATTGAAATGGGAACTTCTAATATGTTATGTTGGAGATAGCCGGAAAATGATTCATGTTCACTGGCTCATGTTATACAGATGAAGGTCATGTGGTTTTTTAGCTCAGTTCATGTTGTTAGGTGGGAAAATATGGTTAAAGACAAGCCCACTGAAAAGGAACATGTCTGCTGACAGTATTTTATAAAGATAACAGAACTTTACTGGCAGCTTTTTCATAAGGGATTTTAGGAACTGGTTCACCTTTAAGCTGTCGGGTGTTACTGTTGCCCAAGATATGTTTTATAGATGTTTTAACCATAAATGTTATTATTACCAGTGTTTCCCACTGATTTGAAATAAACTTGGGGGGGTGGTGGTAGCGGGGGGTGGGGGGGGTTGAGGTGACGTGCAACAACATTAACATGAACCTTTCTGTTGGTCGCTTGTTAGCAGACCCTTCACATGATGGCAGAGCGAACAGGTACAGGCAGGGCCCATAGTGATAGCCCTATAGTTTAAATCTACTACCCACAAGTAAACATATGGACATGGGTTACTATTTTTATTTTTTATTTTTAAATGGTAAATGTATTTAGGAGCCTATCAATGTGATTTTAAGTGGGGGTGGACCTCAAATTCTCTAGGGGGGTCCGGGGGCATGCTCCTCCGGTAAGATTTTATTTTTAAATGTTGGAGTTAAATGCATCAATCTGGTGTACTTTGAGGGGAAAATAAAGAGACTAGATCTATGGGAACACCTATATGAAACAGAACTGTATACAAAATGGGTCGCGAAATATACTTGGGCGGCCGTTAATATACCTGGGCGGCCCGCCCAAGTATAGTCTATGTGTGGGAAACCCTGATTACAATATAGAAATATGCTGCTCAAGCAATTATTGGTCTACACAAATATTTTATTGTATACAGTCAATATTATATATTCAAAGTATTTGAGTGGATTGGAGCTTAAAAGTTACTTTTCTGGGTCTAGCCCATGTCGAGCTCCGTTTGTCATAAACATGATGCCAGTCATATTGGGGATTGTAAGTTAGTGTTTTTTGTAGATATTGAAAATGTATAGATGTTCCAACTGCTACTGTAGTTCTCATATTTGTCAAGTAAGGAATACAATGACAATAAGAACATACATTAGTAACTCAGTTATATACAAAATAATCATAATTTCTTAATTTTGACCCCAGCTAATGCTTACTTGCTGGACCTAACTTGTTTTTTTCTCCTAGATCATTGCCAGGGTGAGTGTGGACAATCGAACTCGGGGTCTGGTTCAGGCTCTCCGCAGGGCTTCAGATGTAAGGGTCTACATCAACAGGGTGGAGGACCTCAGCTACCATCTCCTGGAGTTTCCAGATACCAGTGGCGTTGCAGTCAAGGTGAGGAATCAGAACCGGCTACAGTTATTGTATTTCATTTGACAATCTGTAGCGTCTGTGTCTGAAGCTTCTCGCTACATGAAAAACCCTTTTATTTTTGGCTCATGATGCCCAGACGGTGTTCACAGCAGCGTATGTTTGAATCCTAAATAATCATGTTATATTTGGCAGGAGTAGTTTAACAGCATTGGCATGTAAACAATGTAGATAAAGGCTTGTGTTTGAGAATGTTCACATGCCAGGCAAATGTCATGTTGTCAGCTGTGGAGGCAAGACACGTGTTGCTTTCTGTTTAATGTTGCTGCTCAGCAACTCCTGTACATGCAGATGACACACGGCAGCCTTTATTTAGGTCTCTGCCTATCTGTGAATGTGTCAGGAGCCTATACGGTGCTTATCTAATGCAGACCAAGGTCACTTTTATTGGTGTGAGTAGGTGTGTCTTATATGAAAGATCAAGAACAGTTTTAAGCCTGATATAAAGATGGAAACAAATTGTTTAATACCTTAGCAAATGGCAACATAATTAAAGGCCACTCATGTGTTGACATTGTAGTTATTGACTGAATTGAATTTGATCTCAATGTAATCAAATCAAGTTTTATTTATATAGCACATTTAAAAGCGATTTTTGGTCGAGCCAAAGTGCTGTACATGTAATAAAAACACATTACTACAATCACAATAAATAAAAGACAACAACAGAAATATAAAAAACTAAAACACAGGGAATAGGCAGGTGTGATACTCCGCTCTGACTCGAAGGCCAGAGAGAAAAAGCGTGTTTTTAGTGAGGATTTAAAACCCCAATATAGTCATGTTGTAACAAAAATATGTCCTCATTCACCTTACAAACATTTTCTCCCTATTATAATCATATAGTTTACATCGCAACAGTTTCATGTTTATGTACAACCAAGGTTTTACGGGTGTGATCAGCCTTAAGGCTATTTAATAATGCGGTCACACCACATTTTTGCTCTGCTTATTTATGTGAGGTTTTAATGTGCACTCATTTACCATTGGCAAATCATCCCATCTTCATTCTGATTAAACTATGACTCGCAAACAGGCAAAACTTGTTTATGTCAAGCCAATTGGAGAGAGATATTGGTATCGACCCATCATTAAGGAAGCATTGATTGTTTTTGCCCTTGTTGACTCACCTGCATGCTGAAAGAAAACAAGTATCAGAATAGGAGCAATGCAGGTTGACTGGTAACGAGAACATCTACATGAATAGGATGTGTTATTAACTAGTCAAATACTCCAATATCTCCCACAGCTGACTCTATTTCACAATTTCAAATCCCACTTCCTTTTTGCCTTTCCATTTCTGCTCTGATCCCATCATGATGGACTGACCTCTTTTTTTGTTTTGTGCGGTATGTTTTTTTTGTTTACCAGGAGAGGGTTATCCCTTGCCTGTTGCGTCTGAAGCAGGCCAGTGACCCGGGCCTGAGGGCAGCAGTCAGAGAAGCCCTCGCTCTGGTGGGCTACCACCAACCTGTGAAAGGTCGAGGGATAAGGATCCTGTCCATAGACGGAGGAGGATTAAGGTACAAGTTCGGCTCTTCTTCAGTTTCTTTCCTGTAAGCTATGAGTCACTGATGTCAAGCTTTTGTGGAGTGGAACTGAAAAGCATTTACTGCAGCGAAGGCCATGCTTTGAATTGCAGTTCACGTTTTCTATTAACAGTCTTACAATTCCATTTTTTCTCGAGAAACATTCAGTTAAATGGATACTGATTTATTGGTCTTTGTTGTGCTAGTTTAAAACCAATCTGTGCCTCTCTCCTCCCACACACAAGAGATATGGGTATAGTAGATGTATACACACATTTTATTAGAATACCATTACATTAGTATGTTGTAATAATCATATATACATTTTGATACAAAATATGAATTAATAATACAATCAATCAGCTGTTTCTCTTTGTAACCAGTGTGTGTGGTGGTTGTCATTTTATTCATGTGTCTCTCTTGTGTTGATCTCTGTCTGACTTTGTACTTTCAGAGGACTCCTTGCACTTCAGACGTTACATAAGCTGGAAGCTCTGACCGGCAAACCCATTTACAAACTCTTTGACTATATTTGTGGTGTCAGCACAGGTGTGTCTTCCTTCTGTCCTACTTCTGTGCGGTGTGCGTGTGCTGGTATTATGAGCAGAGTGCTATAATGCCGGCTGGACTGGCAGCACTGATCACACCCTGACCCATTTGTTTCTCTGCTCTTGTTTTGACCTACATTTAAACACCAACGCTTCTCTAGATCTTTACTCAATTCAGGCCTCAGCTGGCAGATTCAAATAGTTCAAATTCGTAAGGACATTATATAATTATATATGTCATACAATTGTAACGCTTCATTTGGTTTCAGGAATTGCCAATATATGGATTCATACTTTTTCCATGTATAACATACCACCACTAGAGGGTACTGTGCAGCCATTTTAAACTGTTCTTCTCCACCTGCTGCCTGGTTGTCTTCATTTCACAGCAGATTGAAAATATATTTGCACAACACTTTGGCTCTTTATCACTACCAGAAGTTTGTATTTGTCCCAAGTTGCTATCAGCCTTTTCACACTTAATCTCCACCAGTTGAAGCTACATTATGAATGTTGTCATAGCATAATGTAAACCTGCTATATTGAATGATGTTCAAACAGTTGAAACCCATCTGGGCCACATCTGGCGGGTTTGATCACCACATCAGGTTAACCCCATCTCTCCCCCTGAAAGCAATGTAGTGTCTTAGAAATCCTGTCAGAGAAACTTCATCATGAAGGGAAAGGTCATCTAATGATCTTCTTATGAATAGATCACCCACGAGAAGTGTTGCTCTAGTCCAACAGATAATCAGGCAATTAGTGTAGCTTCAATTTCAGGCCTTGAGAGTACTAAAAGATCAAGCTGTTAGCTCGTTTATTATTTTATTTTGTTCCCACCGGAGTAACTGAAGCTTTATACTTCCTGTTTAAAAATGTACGCTGTAGTGTGCTTAGTTAAGAACTAGATTCAGGTTTATTGCAAAGTAGGTTTAGACGTACAATCAATCTGCTTTGGTAAATAAAGGTGCATGGATTATCACAGTTAGAGGAATTAAGTTGTAAAAGGGAGCAATTAAATAAATATTACTAAAACTATAGAAAAAAAAGTGTTTTCAAAAAATAAAAGGGACAGAATAACAATACAAACAACACAGTGAAACAATATATATGTGTAGTATATCTGAATTTAAAGTTGACCAATCCTTCTCAGTCACTGACCCCCTTTAAATGATATTGTTTTGTGCTTTTCTTCCTCAGGTGCTATCTTAGGGTTCATGCTAGGAGTGTTCCAGATCCCACTGAACGAGTGTGATGATCTGTACCGGAAGTTGGGCTCAGATGTCTTCAAGCAGAACGTCATTGTTGGCACTGTGAAGATGGGCTGGAACCACGCTTTCTATGACAGTGAAGCCTGGGAGAACATCCTCAGGTCAGAGCCTACGTCTTTAAAGGCAGAGTAGCTCTTGTGCCTAGTTCAGTTCAAGCCATGTTAAAATGCCATGCAAGTTAAAGTGAACACACAGTGAATTTGAAGTATAACATTAAAATTAGGAGGTAAATCAAAGTGACCATCACATCATCACATCTGCTATTTATTTATGTCAAGATGATGTGTAATAATGAGTGATATTGTATGATAATGCATTTAAAAGCCTCACTGCATTGCCATTCAACAATAATGTATTTATTGCAGTATAACTGTGGCTGGTTGTAATCATTCTGAAAAATATTTGAAAGAATACCACTGCATGCTAAAATATGGTCAGCAGTCATTTAATGCATATATAGATTGTTTTAGATACAACATTTACTTCCCTTTTTAATACAGTGGAATGGTCCTTTGAAAATAACAATGCTAATCACAAATGGCTCTCAAGCTAGCATGGGACAATATGTACATGTTGTGTCACCATTATTCTGGCCAATCATCAAAATAAGATTAAAAGGCACTAAAATGTAAAGGGATCCCTTAACCTTATATTTTTTCAGAGGTGGGGGACTGGAGTCACATGACTTGACTCGAGTCAGACTCGAGTCGCATATTTTTGGACTTGAGTCTTGCTTGACTAACATTGATAAAAGACTTGACTTGACTTTGACTTGGTATTCATGACTTGAGGGTTATCATTTCAGCGCCCCACTCTCTATTGCTGTTTATGTTGAAAATAAAACTAAACTTTTCATAACCACAATATTTTTAACTGATTTAAATGCGGAAACTGGGGTTATTCATCAGAATTTCGTATGACTTGACTTGGGACTTGCTTGAGACTTGTAGGTTAAGACTTGAGACTTGCTCATGACTTGCACATGTATGACTTACTCCCACCTCTGTATATTTGTTAAGGAACAAGTATGTATATTTATAGTGTGATACAAACAATCAAACCGTGTTAAATATCATCACGACCCTAACCGTTAATAAATAGAAGACATACAAAAATAGCAACATTGTATGAGTATTTTTATCTTGATAATATATCTTTTTTAATTTTCACATTATTACCATAATAGCGAGCTACGCTCATACGTCCCATCCCTACCGTTATAGTAACTGATAAGCAGAAGGATTTTGTGAAGCTTGCAAAAAGAAGTGTGTCACACTTACTACTACCATCAAAAATTCACTAATCCCCAAAACTAAAATCTTCCTATCTTCCCTTCCACAGAGAGAAAATGGGCTCTCACCTTCTGGTGGAAACTTCAAGAAACCCAGAATGCCCCAAGGTGAGCCTTAGAAGATCTTTCTCTTTCTTCATCTTGTTCTGTTCAGGTTCCAACCAGTAAGCCTTTGGTCACTAAGCCTTTGGCACTGGGATATGAAAAAGAAAGCTCCCTTCTCTATCTCTATTGCTGACTTGCATACCTCTGCAATGACAAGTGGAAGGAAATTACAACATAAAAAGAGTGTGGATCAAGTAAACAGGATTTCATATGTCAGCAAACTCCTCTGAAGCTTGTAGAACTGGGATGATATTAAATTCATATGTCAGAATATAGATCATCAAATTCCGCCTGCATTTTGTATCTTTGTAAAATGCTGCCTCATGCTTAAAGGTCACCTATTATGCACTTTTTCATGTCTTTTATACATCAACATGTGACTGCCAAGGCACACA